CAATCTCAAAGCAGCAGATAACTTGCCTCCATGTAAGGGATATTCGTAATGTCCATCAATGTAAGGCTATGGTCCTTCTAGCACTCATCCAGAAGGAACACGTATCTAGTTCACATATGATCCCATCCTAACCATGTGAAAGTCTCCAGGAAGTTTAAACAATAATAGTTTAGCATTAATCTGACATTGGAGTGTGTGTCTTTTATGTCTTCAGCCTTGCTACTTTAACCTGAGCTAATACCTATTATGTATATTTCCCCATGGAAGACATTTTGAGCTAACAAGTACCAGTGGATGATAGTGTGTGAGTAAATCATAAACTGTGATTACATTATATATGTTCTGTGTTATGCTGAATGTACTTGATACTGAATAAAATGAATCCCAAGTGGAAATGAGCCAAGGCCAAGAGAGCCTGCCATGCCGAAGGAATATTTAGGTTGTGAGGCAAAGACCTTTAACAATTAGGGCATGTTAAGATTTTTTTTTTAAGTGGATTAGATCTATAAAGACCTAAATTTCAAATAGATTTACGAATGAGTCTCAAGTACCAACTCATGTTAGTTATTATGGCAACTTAAAATATTTGTACAGTTTATGTTGGTTAGTTTTCAAATTTGAAAGTGACACTTTTGCTGTGTATGGTTGAAAATACCAATGTTGACTAGCTCAGTAATTTCTTTAAACTAATATAGCTTTGCTGTGGACCGAATATCTGCCTCATCACTCTTGGTGAAATTTGTAAAGCTTTTTACAAACAAATAATTAAAATGTGTTTCTGTTCTACAAGTCAGTTTGCTGTTTTTCATAAACATATGGCAATACAATTTCCTTTGATGTTGTGCTCTAGTGTTAGTCGTGCTTTTAGTTTTTTAGTTTTGTCCATTCTGTGTATAATTGTTCTGCTTTAATTAGCAGCTATGTAGGTATTTTACTGCTATTTGTCGGTGATTTCCAACATCTCATTCAGGTGGTGCTAAATTACAGCTAACATTCTTTTTTTGCAAGTGACAATTGGGATCATGTTTTATTTTTTATTTTTATGTATGTATTATTTATAACTTGTAGATACCAAAAAAGCTATTAAAGATACCATCTAATGACTCAGCTTAGAATATACTTAGGAACCATCTTTATTCTATTGACATTTATTGGTCTGTGTATTAGTCTGTTTTTTGTATTGCTATAACAGAATACCTGAGACTGGGTAATTTATAAAGAAAAGAGGTTTATTTGGCTTATGATTCTGGGACAGCTGATCTGGCATGGGCCTCAGGCTGCTTCTACTCATGGCGGAAAGCAGCAGGCATCCGGAGGGTACAAGCAGATCACATGGTGAGAGGAAGCAAGAGAGAGAGAGGAAGGTGCCGGGATCTTTTAAACAACCAGATCTCACAGGAACTAATAGAGTGAGAATTCACTGCCCCCATCCCCCAAGGAGAGCATTAATGCATTCATGAGGGATCCGTCCCCATGACTCAAACAGCTTTCAACACTGCCACATTGGGGATCAGATTTCCACATGAGTTCTGGGAGAGCAATACATCCAAATTCCATCAGTCTGGAACTCATTAACACACTGATGCTGTAAATTGTGTGCTAGTGTCCTAAAAAACATTGGTTTTATTTAATTTCCTGCTTTGTGACTATAGAAGCATCAAGTGTTTCCCAGATAAGAGAATGTTAAAAGCATTGAGTTATTTCTATATTGCAAGAAAACTTTTTTCTGTATTATGTTTCTCAAGCATAGCTTTAGAGTTAACCTCAATTGAATTTAAAAAATTGAATTTAAAAAATACAGAACAATGGGATTTCTCTGCAGAAATTCCTATTTTTTTTTTCACTTTTTCTTCTGTGATGACTTCTAAAGAACACTGATTAGCCTTGAGAAACTCCTGATTAACTGCAAAATATCAGCTCTTATGGCCCACTATTGGTTTGGTAATATGGATACAGCACCCAAGAGCTGGATATTCTTTCACTCTACATTTTTTTTTCTCTTTTATGTATGTATTTGCTTTCTGTTCAGTGCTTACTGTAGGCACTAAATCAATTTCTGTTGAATGAATTAGGCAAATAAGTCTATGTCCTATAATCATCTGACCTCATTATTTAGGTCAGAGGTATTACCAAGTAATATGAAACGTTGTGTAGCAGACACACCGATTAATGCTGATTACTTTAGCAACTATAACATGTGCAGACTGCCTATGATATACCTTGTACAGGAAGGGAATTATTTGGCCTGGTCTATGTGAGGATTAGGAATGGATGTGTTTATCACGTTATCAAAAGATTTCCTTCTTGTCTGCCAGTCTTAAACTGTGTAGTTATTAAGAGTGCAGAGAAAACTCTCAAAATACAATATGTAAAAAATAAGGAATTATCTATCCTAAACAGGGATAATTTGGAAATAATTTATTGAACTATACAAATTTAGGAAAACAGCCAAAGTAGGAAATGTCATGCAACAGATTACCATACTTGATAAATATTTGGCTTTGAAAAATTACTCTTGCAACAACCTAAAACATGGCTCTTGAGTGTCCAATTTGGGGCCCCTAAAGGCACATATCAGTGCAGGAGCTTCTGCTTGGAGGAGGTACTTATCCTTCCATTTTCTATTTATATTGCAAGGCAAATAGTACAGTAAAATTCTGTAATAACACGGTTTTTACTACATTTAAACAAAATGAGAAAATGCACAAATTATTTTGCAAAGCACAAGGCACTTTTTAATATGAATAACCAAGTCATATACCCCCAAACATGTAAGAGAAAAAATAAACATATAGTAAAACAGTAAGTTCATCTTAATATCATCCCATAGTAAGATCATATAGGATGATCTCATGACATATCGTGACATTGTCACTGTGAAGAATCTTCCCAATGTAAACGCTAGCCTCTGCCCTGGGTCTATAAGAGACATTGCCCTCCTGTGCAGAAAAGGGTGAAGTTTGTAAGCAGTTTAGACCAGAAATAGAAAACATATTTTTGCCATTCTAACACACTGATATAGAACATTTTTTTTTCCTATTTTGGATTTTTCTTCTATGGCATTTAAAATACTACACTTTGTTTATGTTATTTAGTTATCTTCCTATGGTGTTGATAAAATTTTATTTTATAGATGACAAAAGAAATTATAAGTTGTTATTAGCAAACATTTATTGAATTCCTGTGACCATGGTAGAGGCAAAATTACAATGGTGGAAGTATTCTGATTCTAAGATTTGTTTTCTTTAACATTGGGTAACTTATACCCCCATACTGAGATGATTAATTTAATTTAAGCTTAAAATCTTGAAAACCATCTCATCAGATGGAAAAGCCACAGCATACATTTTCATAGATAGAATTACATAGGACTTTATCACTGGCATTACTTCCATCAAAAAAGTCCCATGCATATGTTGGTATCCATAACACATTAAAATAGTGTTGTTTTCTCCATGATTTAAAACTTTATCAAATAGTATACCATATGTATCATTTGTGACTTAGTGATTTTTGGTCAGCATTACTTTGGAGATTTATCTGTGTTGATTCTAGATAATTTATTTTAATTACTGTATAGTATCCATATGCCACAGTTTATCAATTCTGTTGATGGATTCAATTGATCAATTCTGTTTGCTATTTCTTGTGGGGGGGGGTTTTGTTTGTTTTTTTTTTGTTTTTTGTTTTTCTTGCTATTAGAAACCACTATGTATATGCTCTAGAGTTCATTTAGGCCAGTGTTTTCCCAACTATAGGGTATGACTTATTAGGGATCATGAAATCATTTTGGTAGACTGAGACCAGCATTTTCTTTTAAATGGAAATAGAATAGGATAAAACAGGATAGGGTAGAAAAGAATAGCATAAAATAGAAAAGGTGATATTACCAAGCATCTCATGTAGGAGGGGTAAGAATTATTTTGTGAAATTTTTGTTTCAGCCGAGCCCGTGGAGCACTCGGGAGAGTGCGGTGCTGGGAGCGCAGCAGTGCTCCCCCTTGGGTTCGGATCCTATATAGGGATGACCGGTGTGCTCACAGCGCTCACTGGCTGAGCGCGGTGCAGCCGGTCTCAAAAAGGACAAAAAAAAAAAATTTTTTTTTGTTTCCTTTACATATATGTATCAATAAAGATTGAAAAACTGCTGTGGTCTAAATATTGTTGAGTTGTTCTGTGAAGTGATTGTACCAATTTACATTCCTTCTAGCAGTATATGAATGTGCCTTTTGAGCTACACCTCACCAGCACTAGGTATTGTCTCCCTTTAATTTTTGTAGATCTGATGGATGAGATCTATCTCATTACGGTTGCATTTCCATGATAAATTCCTTGGTAAATCTGAGTATCTTTTAATATGTTTATTAATTTCTTTTTCTGTGAATTGCCTGTATCCTTTGCCCATTTCTTAATGTGTTGGTTGTCTTGTTTGTATTGATTTGTAGACATTCTTTGTAGATTTTGTATACTAATCCTTTGCCAGCTGTCAGTTATATATGTAGCAAATATCTTCTCCCATTCTATAGCATATTTTTCCCTTTGTTCAAATTTATCAGTCTTTTCTTTGTGGTTTATGCTTTTGTTTCTTACTTAAGAAATTTTTCCTTGTCCTAACGTCATAAAAATATTTTCAATACTTCTAAAAATTTAAAAGTTTTGCTTTTTTTGACATTTGATGTGGTTTCTTTCATTTTCTGAGTTGAAATACCATATATTAAACGTTTTTAGTATGTGTTTTTTTGTATGTTTCAGTGCCCAAATTGTTTTAACCATCTCCCAAAACTTATAAAGTATAATATCCAAAAGTTATATTTTACGATTTAAATATTTTTATAATAAAGCACCTCTATCACTTTTTTAATAATAGAGATGATACAATTTCAAAACTGTATTTTTCTCAGATAAATAATGGATTGTTAAACTTGCAAGATAATACATTCTTTTCCTCGTTTATTTTTCTCTAATAGAATTTATTTATGTATTTATATTTCCAGTCTCATTAACTTTGTTCTAGAAGACTTTACAAGGATCTAGAAGGAACAGGATTAAAGATGACTGACTACTGGGATCCAGAAATTTAAAACAATCAGGTACAAATGTTTTTGGAGGGAACATTCTCAGCCAATCACTATAGGATAAGACTGTTTGGAATGTACACAGGAAAAAAATATTTCTGCAATACAGTGGAGAATTTTAGAGCAAGGGCTTTGGAATCAGTCCTGGGTTCAAATAGTGGCTCTGACTCTTATTGACTAGTGACTGTTCGTTGAGTTACTGAAACATGTGCATAAAATGGAGACAATGATTATACCTGTTTCATTTAGGTTTTACAAAGATTAAATGAGATAATGTAAGGCACTTAGGACCTGGCAGAGGGTAACTGTCTAACTTTATTATTGTTGCTGTTGTTATTTAGAATACATGTTTATCACATCATCGATATGGTTTTCTATATGTATCTTGTAGATTTTTTTCAAAAGTATTTATTGATATACTACTACAATATTAACATTAATGATAGCCTGGTGAAATCATGTGGGTTAAGAGAAGTATTATCTCTACATATATTCCTCAAATAGTGAAAATTTGGGAAGCTAGTTTTCTCTATTGTGTGTGGATCACATTGGAACCATGTTAAAAAACAACAACAACAAAAATCCAACCATTTTCCACAATGCTAGAGAATCCAACAATTTTTTTTTACAGTATTTTTCAATAGAAGTTAATCTTGAATCATTTAAATCTTGAAGGACTTTCTGATCAGCAAACATGAAATTATGTTAATCTTATATTTAGTGTTAATTGAATCTTACTGAATGTCATTTCTTTGAATGTGGTAATTTCCACATGCCATACATGCAATTATGTCTTAACCTGATCAGTCAAATAAACACAATGGCCTCTTTTCCCACCATTCTGATTTACAGAGTCTATTATACTTGAAATTCATCAAAGGCACTGAAAAGAGTTAATTTCCTACTTAAAAATGCAGGATTACTCTTCCATGATCTTAGCACATTAACAAGATTTCCCTCTGCTAGGAACAAAGGGGACCTGAAGCCTAAAGTACGATGAGGTGCAGTCATGTCTCTACTTTGGTTCCGTTTTCTTCTTTTCTTTTCCTTCCTTTTCTCTTCCTTCCTTCCCTCCCTCCCTCCCTTTGAATTCTCTTCCTCTACTGTGCACCTTTCTCTTCTCTTCATCTTTCTTCTCCTTTTATTTTTTATTCCAGTAAACTTGGGGCAGATAAGGAAAAGGTGTTTCTAGTTGGGATGAGGCAAAAAGAGAGGAATCCTCAGTAGAGACAGTCTCCAGTATACAAAAAGCTGTGTTTGAAGGATGCTTTCAGTGAATGCGCTGAGCCGTAGGCTGTGATGGTTATACTGATGAATGAATCGTGATGCCTTCTCTTGCAGAGCCTGCAAAGTAACAGAGAAGACAAATCATATAGGAATAATTATCACATGAGACAGAATATGAAAAGTGCCATTAATTAATAATGTTTTTTTAAAAAAGCACTGTGAAAATACAGAGGAGAAGGGATAGATACCACCCCGTTTGGATAATCAGGAACCATGTCAATGTGAAGCTCAATGGCAGTCATGCTGGGTTTTAGAGAATAATTAGAATTTTAATGGATCTGCTAAAAAAGCATAGATAATATGTAGTATTAATTAAATACGGCAAAGTATCTTTCCATATTGTCAACCAGATAAAGTTTTATAAATATATAAGTGCGAAACTTCTAAGTGATTTTTTTAAAAACAAGCATATCCTTTTTGACTTGTTTCCAAACATTAGAGATAATTATCTATTAATTGCCATAGTTTTGAGTTATAATTATTATGAATATATTATTATTCCTTATATTCTGGAGACCTTTTTGCAGCTGAGGAAAACAAATTATTAATATCCTCAAGGGCATATAAAACATTGATAAGAACACTGTTAAGACTTGACCTTATTTTGATTATTGTTTTTATCTCAGTCTCTAACTATATTGTAAAAAACACCAGGTAAAATGTTCTGATGTTAGTAGTCAAAATATGGATTATATTTAATAGGATCCAATGTAATAAATTAAAAAATCAATATTATTAAATACAGTTTTATTAAGTTGGTTTTTGAGGGAGAGAGAATATTTTATGTATATTTATCTTTAGTGATGAGATACTTAACTGGGTAATGATCGAACATATTGTATGTCAATATATTCAGACATATTGTATGTCTTCTGATAGGGCTGCTCTGGCTGTTACTTCTACAAAGTAGAAAGTAGTTATTGTGGAAATGGTGATTACAGAAAGAACATTCAGTGCCATTGCCAAATATTTGATGGCTGTTGTTTCATTAAAGTCCAGGATAACAAAGTCATGTTCATTCATTCATTCTTTCATCTTTTTCATTCATTTCTCCTTTTTTTTTTTTTTTTTCCTAGCTTAGCAAATCATATATTCTTCAGTGGATCTGAGAATTGATAAGTCTGCTCTTCACAGTGATTTGGAACTTTCCATCCCAAAGAAAAGTTGACCAAGGTCTAAAATTTATTTTTCCTTATCTATAGGAAGTCAGCTCTGAAATAAAAAATTTTCTACTCATTTCCTTATAGATTTAAGGACCTGTGTTTATCCTGGGATTACTTTTCCAGACCTCAGAAGGAGGATTCCCATAAGAAGCCATCTGGTAGCTCCAGAACAGTTAAAACCCCTTTTGGGTTTTGTAGTTAACTCCCATGCCTAGAGCTGGATTCCCTGATCTTCTCTTCACAATATTTCAGCTTAGCTTATTTTCTCTGTTAATTAGAAGTAAAGTAATTTTTACCTGGCTAGTTTCCTTTCATGTATGGGATCCTGATTTTACCACATACTTTTTCCTCAGAGACTGCACAGGACTGAGTCCATATGGAAGAAGAATTTCCTCTTTTCTATGGAGAAAGCGGCAAGGTTAGAAAAAATCATGCCCTTGGAGCATGTTTATTCTGTCGCATGAAACATACTTCATCAAACATCTACTGGTCACCTGATAGGAAGATCAATGAGACAGTATCTATCTTTGAGGGGCTCACAGTGTAGTGACTGAGATGCCAGCAGACGATTACTGGGGACATGTAGAGTGCTGAAGGGGCCAGCAGGGAACTGGTATCATCTGAGTGGTTCAGGAAGGGCTCTTGGAGACGTGATGCTTGAGCTGGATGAGGAAGACGGGCCATCCCCATTTCACAGATAATGCTGTCCTGCAAAAGGCTCTGAGTTGAACCATGTTTATTCAATTCCCAGAGATTAAAAAAAATTATAAAATACCTAATCTTAGACAACATGTTCTCAGTTCATCATAGATATTCTTTATTTCTTTTCTATCACATCTGAACTTGAGAGCCAGCTTAAGTCCAATCAGTGTCCAACTGATGTTAAAAGATTCACATCTTTCAGCATGCACATAGATTTCCATCTTGTGTTATTTTATTAAATTTACAAAATATCTGCTCATCACTATTAACAGCTTAATAGTTACTGTTAACTTTCATTTGTCTGTCTTCTACTCTTTTTTTTAAATAAGGTCAAAATTCAATGAAAGATGTAAATAATTACACAAAGTGAGCATAGTGTACAAAGACGGCAAAGCTTCTGAAACCACACTGTAGCATCACTGTGTGCTGACTTGAAGTATTTGTGAGCTCTTGAAAAGTCCAAAAGTAGCTTATAAAAGTAATATGTAGAACTTGAGAGTCTTACAAAATGTTAATAGAAAAATTTCCTAATTTTGCCTAGCAACAGATTTCTTAAAAGAAAGAATTCAAAGAATCCATGATAAAATTACTTTATTACATACAAGGTATCATAATGCTAGGAAATCTCAAAATGGGAGGTTTTGCTATTTCTTTTGAAGAAAGGTTTTTACTGGGCATGCGGAACATATAATTTTGATCCTATTTACCTATGTTGTATTTTAAACTGAATTGTGACAACTTGATAGTTGTCTATAATTAAGTGAAGTAAAAAATTAAGTGAAGTATGATTCTTCATACTGATAGAAAAGCATAGTAATTCAGGTAACACTATCTCAAAGGAATAATAAGATGCATTTTGGTCTCTAATATTATGGCAGATACATTTACTTAATTATGTTTTTCTTGAGCTAATAGTAAAGTCTTATTACTTTGCGTTTCCCAAACAGATGCCAGCTAAAGGTGGGAGGAGCTGGACTGGATGTGAGCAAAGTAGTAAAAAAAATCTGGCCTACGATTAATTATTGCCAAGGTAGTTTTATGTGCAGAAAGGAAGGTTACCTGGCCCAAATTAGGACTGTGAATTCTAGGGGCAAGATCTTAATGACGAATATTACCCGGCTGTCATTCCCTAGTACTGCTTTTTTTCCCGTACAGATTTTCCTATTGCCCATGCTTGGCCCTTGCTCAGCAAGTCTCTTTCTTGACAGTTGGGCACAGAGTCGTTTGGGTGCCTTCTGCAGAGATGGCTGCTGTCATGCAGAGTGGCACTCCTGTGGGGTGCTTATGAACACTTTACACGTTGTCTCATGAGTGTGCTAGACAGAAGAATGTATTTTTCTTCTATGAACAAAGACGCTGTAATTCTTTGAGACTGATTATTTACTTCAAAAAAGTGTGAAGACATCTTTTATAACTTGTCATCAGTTCTCTATGTAATATAGCTCCCCTACAGATTTAAAAAATGAGTCTTGGATGACTAATCACCAGCAGCCAGCTTTCTGACAGAGATTTAGAAAACAATATATCCACATCTCTGTTGTACTTAGATTATATTGTAATTATTTGTTTTCCCTTAAATGACAACCTCCTTGAAGGGAATGATTATGTTTCATTTTTATATCTTTAGTTCAGTGATACTATCAGACCAGACACTCCCTTGACCAGTAGCATCTTTTAATAAAACGTACAGACTGCAGGTTACATTACAAACATGCACATTGGAATCACAGGAGTCAGTAAAGTCACAAGCTGGGTACTATATATTTTTGTGCAGGTAGTCCAAGAAGAAAGTTTAGAGCTAATGATTTGTAGACAAGTGTTTAGGAACTGGTTGGAATTTACAGTCTGATGATAGGCATCCACTTGATTTTGTAGCAGGGAAGGATGAAGTCCAAAAATCTTCTTGAAAGAAGTTAGGTAGCAATCAATCACTGGATCTTGCCACCTGCCCTGTTTGTGGAAGATAACTCACAGTGGGGGTATTATTGCCTTGTTTATTAAGGATTCTACGAGAACAACAGCCAAAGCCCTGCAAATGCAAGCAAACACTCTGTCTACCAGTGGTATAACATTTTAAGTAAACTTTTTACTCTGCAATCAGATGATGTGTGTGGAAAGAAATCTGGGTTACAATCTGGCTCACACACTTAGAAGCTAGTGATCTTGGAGGGTTACTTAGTCTCTTTGTCCCTCAGTTTCCCCATATGTAAAATGAGGATAGCAATATCTAGGTCTTATGATTATTGCGAAGATTAGAAACAATACGTAAGAACTCCGACAGCTAGAACACTGATGCATCTCCATTAAATACTTGATGCCACTTTCCTAACTTTGGTTTTTATTTTAAAATTTACAGACTTCAATAGGAAAAAAATTTAAAATGAAGACCTTATAGAAAATAAGATTCCTTGGCCAGCCCGGTGGCACACTGCTACAGTGCGCCACTTGGGAGCGTGGTGGCGCTCCCGCCGAGGGTTCGGATCCCACATACAGACCGGTTCCTGCTCACTGGCTGAGCAAGGTGTGGGAGCAGCACTGAGGGTTGCGATCCCGTTGCCGGTCCCGGTCCGGTACGGGCGCGACACTGAGGGTTGCGATCCGTTGCTGGACACGAAAAAAGACAAAAAAAAAGGAAAAAAAAAAAAGAAAATAAGATTCCTTTACGATATAAGGTGGTGGGTAATTTAAGGTGAAGCTTAGACTAAAAACTGAGATTTTGTCTTTAGCTCTATAGTGGACTTGGGACTTGGGCAAATCGCTCTTCTTTCAGGAAACAAAATGTCTCAGAGAAGAAAGAAATCTTTTTTTATAAAGACTCTTGGATTACTAGATTACCATAATGTCACCACATAAACTCTGTGTTCCTAAAAAAAATAATAAAAACAAGGACATAATTTTATACTCGCACATAATTGTAGCTTCATTATGTTTTCCTTGAGCTACATATGTAAGATTTTTTTTTGATTCCATATCCTAAATTAAGGTTGTCTTGTAGGAAATGCCCACAGATTTTCCTACCACTGATATTTTTTTTGTAAAGTGCTCTGATAAAAGTAATTGCAGAAACAATAATTATTGTTTCAAAATTGAACCAGAGAATCAACTGGTTCTGCTTAAAAGAAATAGCATCAGTGAAGGTGTCATTCTTGGGGCAGGGTCTTATGTAGCAAGATGAGGGAATGTGGCTGGATTTGGAGTCAGGGGAGCTCAGCCCTGGTTCAGCCTCTGCCAGTGGCTCGCAGGGTGGTGCTGTTGCCAGGGACAAGCTGCTCAGGCTCTGCATTAGTTTCTTAGGGCTGCTGTAACAAATTACTACAAACTGGGTGACTTAAAGCAACAGAAATGTATTGTCTCATAGTCCTGGAGGCTAGAAGTCTGAAATCAAGGTGTCATGAGTGCTATGCTCCCTCTGAAGGGGGAAGGGAAGAATCTTCCCAGCTTCTGGTGGTGGCCCCCAGCAATCCTTGGTGTTCCTTGACATATAGATGCATCACTCCAATCTCTGCCTCCTTTGTCACATGCCCTTCTTTCCTATGTGTCTCTGTGGGCCCCCTCCTCCTCTTATAAGGACATTAGTCATTGGATTTAGGGCCTACCATAATCCAGTATGACCTCATATTAACTCATTACATTTTCAAAGCCCCTATTTCCAAATAAAGTCACCTTCTGAGGTGCCAGGTGGACATGAATTTTTGGATTTGGGGGGACACTATTCAACCCATGACAGCCCTTCTCTGGGTCTTCCTCGGGTTGCTCGTCTATAAAATGATCTTTAGAGCTCTTTCTAGCTACAGTATGCAATAGTTCCATGAACGTTATTCTGAAAAGACAGAAACCTAAAAACGAAGCTTTAATTACAGGAAAAAGATGGTGGCTGTGCTTGTCTTCTGCTGTTAAGTTCAGTGGTTATTGAGATAGCTGTTTGATGCTTTAGAGTCTTCTAGTTGGCTGTGATTAGACGGGAACTTCAAAGTTTGAGAACTTGGTGATAGTGTTTGATGATGTGGTTTAGGTGAAGTAGAAATGGACGCCATTGGAGCTAAAAGCAAGAACGGAGAGGCCAAGATATACTGGAATATCTGGAATATTATGATTAATGGAGTGACTAATGGTAATGAGGATGGGAGAGCCTTGTAAGTCGATGGTTTGGACTTCAGAAGAGCAAAGTTTCTGACTTGCACTGTCAGGTATCCTCACCCAACTCCTAAGGTGGAAGAGACAAATACTCTTTCAGATCTATAGAAAACAAGTAGCTGGTCTGCTCAGCTCTGTACCAGAACTCATTCCTAGTGAGGATGATTTAATAGCTGATGAGAAAGAGAGGCCTTAGAAAAATCTTTGCTCCTTTAAATCAAGCATGAGTTTGGTGATTATTGTGGGAAATGGCCAAACATGCCATTTGATAGGCATGTTGACTATTTATGCATCTTATTATAATCTTCAAAAATTTTGTAAGTATATAAGTAAAAATGTCTCCAGTGTAGCAAATAAACAAAAACTCTCTTTTAAAACAACTTTATAATGTGCACATTTCATGTTGTTATGGGAGCACAGATGCTCATGATCTTAGTATGCTGTTATGGGTTTAATAGTGATTCTCCAAAATTCATGTGTTGAAGTCCTAACACTCATTACCTCAGAATGTGACTTATTTGGAAATAGGATCATTGCAGATGTAATTAGTTAAGATGAAGTCATTCAGGTGGGCTCTCATCCAGTATGACTGGTGTTCTTATAAAAAGGGAAAATTTGGGCACAGAGATACCCACAGAGGGAAGCTGGTGTGAACAGACATAGGAGAAGCCAGCCATCTACAAGCCAAGAAGAGAGGCCTGCAATAGATTTTCCCCTTACAGCCCTCAGAAGGAGCCAAACTAGCTTTTAGTTTTGATTTTGGGCTTTTAAACTCTGGAACTGTGAGACAATAAATTTCTGTTGTTTAAGCCACTTAGTTTGCCATACTTTGTCACAGCCACCCTAGCAAACGAGTACATATGCTTTCTGGGTGTTTCTTCCTACCAATCCCCAAACCTGAGTGGAGATGAGAAGCCCACCCACCCCTCAAACTGAAGATCAGGTCAAACTTGCCCATGAACTGAAACTTTGGGACCATTTCCTTGGTGTCACCTTCAGCATGTTCTAAGGATTTGATTGGTTGAGACTTGACAGCAGATGAAGTGGCAGTCCTCTCTTTCTCTCTTTTCTTGCTTTTACAACCAGCCTAGTTTCCACAGCTACATTTAAGACATGGCCAATATTTAAAGTACTTGCTAACCATTCATCTCCCCAGAGTTCAGCTTTGGATGATTTCTGTGTCCTTGAGGAAAGTTAGTGGGTGAGATGGGATGCCATCAGGGCCTCTGGCGCTTGCTGCTGTGAGGGCAGAGCTGGAGCAGCGGGGCTGGGGAAGGCAGTTCCTGCAGCTGTGAGAGCCTCTCAAAAATAGACCCAGCTTATTCTTCCTTAAACCGGTGTTAACCCTCTTCTACAGAAGTGAAACGGGCAAAGAAAATTTGTTTTTTTATTAGTAGGTTCAATATATATGTCTTTTTCCCTTTTCAGCCAGTACAGGCTACTCTGTCATCTTTGAAGATGTTAGATGTGGGAAAGTGGCCAATGTTTTCCCTCTGTTCTGAGGAAGAGCTGCAGTTAATTCGTCAGGCTTGCGTCTTTGGCAGTGCTGGCAATGAAGTTTTATATACTACAGTAAATGATGAGGTAATTTCGAAGAAAAAAATTCAGCCACCCATATTTTTAGTAGGGATTTGCTAAATTGAAGATCTTGGGGGAAACTAAGGAATAAAGATTTTAAAAAGCATGGAAAATATATTTTTATTATATAATGAAGCAGTTTGCTTTAGGAAGACTGTGCTTGTTTGAATGTAATTTTTAGGCTTGTTTGAATATAATTTTAGGCTTGTGATTTTTCCCATAGATTTTTGTGCTTGGCACAAACTGCTGTGGCTGTTTGGGGTTAGGGGATGTCCAGAGTACCATTGAACCTCGGAGACTGGATTCTTTAAGTGGCAAAAAGATAGCCTGCCTCAGCTATGGGAGTGGTCCGCATATTGTCCTTGCAACAGCAGGTAACCTAGGAACTCAGTTTAGAATTTTAGCCATTGCTTTATTTGTTGGGAAAAAGACTGTGACTGTCCCTTAAATCGAGAACGTACTTTTTGATTGAGCAAGAGTTGCTGGCTCTGCCCTGTGAACTTAACTATGCTTTGGACAACATGAAATGTGAATATATCTGAATATCAGAGTAAGATAATGTAGCAGATGGAATCTAGCAATTATTGGCATTATAAATGTATGAATGACAATACTACAAGCCCAGTAAACCCCTTCTGAACACTGAACTCACTGTGGGCTTTGGCAAGTCTACTTCTTGAACTTTAGATTCTTGATCTATTAATTGAGAAACTAAACCTTGATTGTAACATCCCTCCTAACTCTTAGCATTCTGTGGTTCTTACACTAAATAGTGACTGATGGCTGTAGTTATATAAAGGGATTAAACATCTCATGGCTAATTCATGACTAGTGACTAATAAGATATTAAGAATATCTTGCTCTGAGCAAAGCAAGGAGGAAAAAAAGAAAGAAAAGAAATAAAACCTCTCCCTGAGAGTTTGTAACAACGAATTTGTAGTTTAATTCACATCAGACTGGATGGTCCAAGAAATCTCAAGCCTTGAATTTATTAGAGTACTGACTTGAATTTTCTTAAGGGCATGATAGAAGTTAATGCACATCCTTTTAGAAGAAGGCACCTTCATCCTAGACCTGAGGGAATCACCACAAATGCTTTTTCAAAGGCAGTAAAGCAGCACATGGTCAATGACAACCAGGTAAACAAGGAAACAAGGCACCATGAATGAGAACCAGAAGAAACAACAGACAGCAAGAACTGACTGCTAAATAGCAGACATTAGAATTATCTGATACCAGTTATATGATATATTTATTGTTTTAAGAAATAAATGAGCTTAAAGATATCTGCAAAGATCATAGAAAATTTGAAAAAGACTCAAATGAACAATGTAATCATCAAAATGAAAATTCAGTGGACAAGTTCTGTAGCAGTTTGGACACAGCAAAAGAGAAAATTGATAAACTGGGAGATTGATCAGAAGAAATGATTCAGAATGTGGCACAAAGAAATAATGTGGTGGAAAATACAGACAAAATGAGTATATACTGTCTGATTCCATTTTTTTTAGACAAAATGAGTATATACTGTCTGATTCCATTTTTTTAAAGTTCAAAAACAGGAAAATCTAAATTATTTTATTTATACAAGATGCATATGTGAGGAGCTTTGGGGGTTTTATTTCTTGACCTGAGCAGTAATACATGGGTGTATGCTTTATAATTCTTTATAAAACTGAACATACATGTTTTATGAGCTTTTCTGACTATGTATAATATTGTACAATAAATAACAAAGATTTAAAAAATTAACTTAATGATCCTTTTATAGATAATGAAATTAACTCCCAGAGCAAATGACTTACAATCTTTTGACTTTCAATCTAATGTTTTTCTATTACTCTTAGCAGTTTTTTCTCTGCTGTTTATTAAAAACCTACTTTCCAGCTATTATAGCTGCATCGTTTAAATTTCATCTTGTTGCTTTGAGAATGCAATTTATACTTTCCAAATAGATTCTTTCATAGAATGAATTTGATGGAGTAGGGAAGTTGATTAGCTTTTTGCACCTGAATTTTTAGTTTTTATTTGTGGAAGTCATGCAATGCATATTTTCATATAATGAAGTAGATGTTTTGAAAGCTGGTTATCTTTCTTTTTATTTTCAGAAGGAGAAGTCTTTACCTGGGGTCATAATGCTTATAGCCAGCTGGGCAATGGGACAACTAATCATGGTTTAGTGCCCTGTCATATCTCTACTAATTTATCAAACAAACAAGTCATTGAAGTTGCCTGTGGGTCCTACCATTCTTTGGTGCTAACATCTGATGGAGAGGTGAGAATAGTCAGCATAAAGTTCACTGTTTTCCAACACGAGTCCATAGATTCCTATAGCAGTCCTGTAAATAGGGTCACTTAATCAAAATAACCACCTCCCTCAAATTCAACCTTATTGTCGGTAGCAATTCATAGTCATGGTGTTTATATTATGAAGTTTACTTGTACGTAGTAAGGATTTCTAAAACTGCAGAACTTAAAAGGATATATTGTTTCTTCTATATTCCTACAGTGAAGGGGTTATTTGCAAAAAGAAAAAGCCCAAAATACTGTAAAATATGGCTGAGGCAAAATAGATATTTTTGTGTTATACGATATTTGATAGTAATTATCAGTTTGTGCAGATAACAGCAATAAGTTAACTTTATAAAACAACAAATTGTGTAAGAATGAATTTTATAAAAACTTCTCTGTGTTGTGAGAATTTATGGATATGAAGCACTTTGAGAGGAAAGATGAGATGCCGTAAGTACATGTTAGTGTCCAGTTGAGACACTTTATAAATTAATGTGTTTCATTTGTTTATCTTTTCTTTCAAACAGGTATTTGCCTGGGGTTATAATAACTCTGGGCAGGTAGGATCTGGTTCAACAGCTAATCAGCCGATCCCTCGAAGAGTCACTGGCTGCTTACAGAATAAAGTAGTTGTGAACATAGCGTGTGGGCAGATGTGCTCGATGGTGGTAGTGGACACTGGGGAGGTAAGGAAGTTATTTCATACTTTGTTTAAAAAACCTGTTTGCCGCATCAGTGCCATACTAGCATGGCGTGTTTCTCATAACAGAGCACTTGATTGCCGTTTGTCTTTGTGAGCGCTGAGGTTCTCTTTTCTCTCAGGTCTATGTTTGGGGTTACAATGGAAATGGTCAGCTGGGACTTGGCAGTGGTGGCAACCAGCCAACGCCCTGCAGAATAGCAGCTTTGCAAGGCATTCGTGTGCAGCGGGTACGTCCACTGGTGGTTTGTGTGTGCATGTGTGTTTATGTCTAAAGTGGCAAAGATACCAGTGTATTAAAAACACTGTTTTCTTAGTAGGATGAAAAGTTTAGCTGCTTGGATGTCTTCATTGAAGTAAAGGTTAAAGCTCTTTTTCCCTGCATTAAGTTGTAGCTATTATCAGAAAATTTCTGTTTCTAGAGCTCTCTCATGCACAGCTATTAGAATGCAAATTGCTACAACTTTTTCATGGAAACTTTGGCAGTATGTATCAAGAACCTTAAAAATTTTCATATCCTTTCACCTGTAATTTCACTCCTAGGGAATTATCCTAATGAAACAAAGAGAAAGACTCTTTTAGAATTTCTTAAGAAGATATAGAAAAAGATTGATAACTTTAATAAAAAAACAGTAGGTATAGCATAAGTTACTAATCAAACTAATGATCAGATAAATTATGCCAAGTCTACATGACAGAAGTGATGTCTACAAAGCATTTTTAATTATGTGAGAAACTTCTGTGTGTAGTATTAAGTCAAAAGAAACAAGATACAGAATTGTCTATACAATATAGTCATTAAAAAAAAAGCTATAGGTGCATTTCTCTATGTCTGTAGATAAATAGAAAAAAAAAATCCTGATGTCTTGAGAGTACTTTCATATTTATACTTTTCTGTATTTTTCACATTGAACATGATTTACTTTTATAATCAGAAAAAAAAATAATTATCAAAAAATAAAAGTGTCTGTTTCTTAAATTCACCCCCAACCCGTTGATTTCCATGAGCACAATGGGTGCTGTGTTGAACCTGAAGAGACTGGGGCTAAGGGAGCTGAAGCATTCGTGTTCTAACCGCAGTTCTGGAAGGACGGTGGTTAACCTAATTCTTGCGTCTGTGGGCGGACTGCCTCTTCCTTTTTCTTCCTTTTTTGATTCTTAAGTTACTTTGTAAAAGTAGTGAAAGATTTTCTTCCATTAGCAGGCATGAGTGGATTTGTCTTTTTTCCTTCCAGGTTGCCTGTGGCTACGCACACACGTTAGTATTAACAGACGAAGGCCAAGTGTATGCTTGGGGTGCAAATTCTTATGGCCAGTTGGGCACTGGCAATAAAAGTAACCAGTCTTACCCTACCCCAGTCGTTGTGGAAAAGGACAGGTAATGTGTGTATTTTCAAAATTAACCCAGTGGTCTTTAGTGATTAAACAGAAGCTAGGCATGATACAGAATTGTGGGGTATTTATTGCTAGCATTAGAGTGTTTTTTAACAACAGTATTCATTTCTTTTTAAAAGTTGGCTTTGAATCATTGGGGAGGTTGACTGTATGTTAAACATTCTATTTTCACTTACCCAGATTTCATCTATGCCTCCAACAGCTACTCCAGCCAAACTGCAATGACTAAATTTCAATTATTCTTATTCCTCACAATTTACCTTTCTCCCCCTCCTCATTTTCTGTTTTACATTCTTAAGGGGAAATTGATGATGTTTGAGTTCTACCTTCTGTAGCTTAGGAAAATGAAGCTACCTTGAATGGTGTGTAAAGCTGGTCACTCAGCTACTTATAAATTTCCAGTTGAAGGGAATAGGATTATTTCATTTCTTTAACTCCCAAGCTGTTTCTATGAGGAAGATTAAAATAATTAGTTAGAAAGTAAGACTTTGTTTTGTGCACTTGTTTGCAAGGTTATGTTATGTAATTAGCACATCCAGAATTAGTATCCAAATTATCCTAATATTTCTTAAGGCTCTTTGAATTTTTCAAGCATGGCCATAGCACTGCTTTTTCTCTCATCTTTTTTGACACAGTAGTGAGGAGCAAAGACATGCTATCTTTTCTTTTAAACTAGGGTTGTAGTCATTGTAGAAATTAATGCAGCTATTTTTATTTTACATATTAATTTTTATTATATTTGATTTTTAAATAAATATATGGATAGATGAGCTTGCATTTATATGCAATCCTTTTATGTTTTTCTGTTGGAATGCTTAACAATAACAGTGAAGAACCAAATGTTATTTCTTAACCACCTCAATTTTCATTTGAGTACGGTGAATTTGGCTTTGTTTTTTCCCCCAAAAAAATCTTAGAATAAGGCCCTTGAACCCTTAAGAATTGGGGAGGAAGGGAGAGAGAAGGGACAGTTTTGAGGCTTTGAATAATCCCCAAAATGCCTCAGGCTAGCAAATCCAGTCAGTAGGAACACTTAGTATTTAGACTGAACAGAGTGTTAAAAGATCAAATAAAGGTAGCATGGAAATAAAAACAACATATTTGTAAAGCACTTTACCATTTTTTGTAGCACTTTCCCATGTATCAAAAACTTGAGCTTATCTGTCCCTGGTCTCATAGAGTCTGCTGTCATTGCCCCAGTGACTTGCCTAACGTTGTACTGCTAGTCCCTGATCCAGAACGGTCCACTGGTCTTCTGAGTAGTTCATGCTGGGACCGACCGACTGTGGGGCATCGAGGCAGGAGAAAGAAAAAGCATCAGAGAAGCAGGGAATGGAAGTTATGTGAGTGCAAGTTGCTCAACTGGACCTTGAGAGTTATCTTTTGCGTTTCTGTCTTAACTGCAATTATTTTGAATTTTAAATATAAATAAAGTGGAAATAGCTATGTACTTATGCACGTGCTACTGTCCACATAAACAGCATTTGGGCTGTAAAAATCATGGATGAGTGTTTTAAACAATATTGCCGACTGTCCCAGTTTTCCATGCTTGAATTTTGGGTGGTGGTTTCTGAGCCACGTGCATATTGCAAGGGAGGGTTTTAGAAGTCTGTGCTGGGACTTGTCCTGCCCCTCTCCACCCTTTCAGTGACTAAGACTTGACGCGTATGTCGTGACTTATCACTCAAGAACCTTCCTTCGGACTCTTTTGGGACCCATTACAGGGAAGCTTGACTAATTAGGAACAGGCTTGCTTTGGGGAGGGGTGGGTCTCCAGTTCGTAGTTACCTGTTCACAGAAGTGGAAAGGCAAAATCTTTTGACTAAATTGGATTCTTGTCCCAAATGACAACTCAAGGGAAACCTTTTAAAATCTTTCTCAGAGAGGACATTTTATGAGGAAGAATACTAATATTTGTCAGCAATTTATATTTATGTAAAAGTAGTTTTAACAATTAAAATGATTTTCTTCCTAGCCCAGTCATTCCCAGTCTTTCTAAAGTTTCAAAACCTTGGTATTTGACTAGCATTTGTGCCTTCATTTTTAAGTTAAACTGATGTAAAGCTAACTTGAGCTGTTGAGAATTCTGGGACTTCTTGTGCTAATCAGCAGTTCTTTGGGCTCTTATGAAACCAGGATTGGGAATCACTGCTCTGGACCTCTGGATTATTGCTCTGTCTTCACAGTTCTCCCCTCTCCGATGCCCTTTTGCCCCTCCTTGCTGTTTTCCGTTTTACTTCTTTCTCACTCTCTGCTCTTTCATTTCTAGTACTTCACAGCCATTAAGCTATGCGGTTAGTGCAAATCATTCCACTGAGGTGACACAAAACCTGTTAAGAACATGCAGTAATTTTTCTTTCCATTAAGATTGGCTACAAAATAAAGTGTAAAACATGCCAGACATCCTCACAGCAAAGGTTAGCTCAGTTCATAGTCATCGTCTGTTGTGTGTAAGACTGGAATATTGGAGCGTCAAAATTTCCTTCTTAGTATGAATCCAATTAAGAAACTGATGACCTTAGGCAGAGGCAAGGTTCCTTGGCAGTTGCTTGGGTTCCAAGCCTAGACCTGAAGGTTCCCTCTAAACTTTCTCCACTCTCGTTCCTGTAGCAGCTGCTGCGGTCAGCCAGGCCCGCGCCCCACCCCTGACTTCCCGTGTGGAGCCAGGTGTGCCAGGTAAACGTCACGAGGCCATGCCTAGGGACAGCCAGTGTCAGCGTTGCCTCGCCCTCCCTCACCCTCTTCTCTGTCCGTCCCACCATTCTCTGGGAAGCATTGTTCCCGGCTGGGTCACCAGCCGCTGCAGGGGCAAGGCTGCACTCCTTTCATGGAGGCTCATAACAGACATTCCAGGAGGGAATGTAGGAACTAAGTTATTCTGATTTTCCGATGTTGGGTGCTTTCGCACAGAATGACAGTATTCTGTTCCAGTCTGTGACATTTTTCATAGAACATTATCAGAGAAAAGGGAGTCTACCATTTTAAGTGGTCTCCCAAAGTCCACAGAAATTAATTCGAAAAATTTAAAAGTCCTTGCCCAGTAGGTCACTGCAGAAGTGCTTAAACGTAAGGAGAGCAAGAGCACTTAATTCATGTTTATCTAAACATTGGTGGGCTGTTTTACACACGCCCCCGCCCCCAGGAAAAGCAGATGGCTTTACAGCTACAGTGGCTAAAATGCAGGCGGCTTTTTGTCTTCTGCTAACTGCTTAGCTCTCTGCGTGTTGAGCCTCCACCGCCACCATCAGAGCAGCTAGTGCTGCTTCCCCCCCCCCCCCCCCCACTGCCCGGCGGGTGTGTCCTTAGACTCCTACTCTGGGGCCATTTATGACTCCTCTCCCTCCTCTGCATTGATATC